CTTTTGCTAAGTTATTTCCAATTTCATAAGCACATGGAAAGTTGTCATAGGTGGGGATTTTGTGTTGTAATTATTTTTATTTTCCTGGTAATCTGATATGCAACTATAATTCTCTTTGCCTATGGGGGCAGATAAGGGCCGGCCATCTCAGTGGAGATTGCCATTACAAAAGGGAATTACTTCGTGGCTTTATGAAGCTGAGAGGACATGAGCAAGTGAGTTTCGTCCCATACTAATTACTAGCATCCTTAAAGTGACACATTTTTTTAATTATATTAACTTTGAATTTCACATTATCTGCTTAATGCGTGTGTGTCTGTGTGTAGGATTGTGTGCGGCGAAGAGTGATGAAATCAGTGACAGCAAATCCATATTGTTCGGAAGCAGCAGCAAAGGATGCAATGGAAGCTGTTTGGGATATTTGTTATAACGACACTAAGCCCTTTGACCGTGCTCCTTGACAATATTAACATTGCCGTTTCTTTGTTTTGGTCCGGAATTCGATTTTGTTCGAACATCTGAGGGATTTTTTTTTTATTTCCCCCTTTTGTTGGTTGTTTACACATACTGTTTGCTACGATATGTTTTGTGCCTTTATTAGGGAACTTTTTCTAGAAAGTTTTGACCCCTTATGTTAAATTGTTAAGCTTAAATTGAAGTATACAACTAATGTTAAGTCTCAATTTAATGTTTATGCTACCATGTTGGTTTTGCTAATCCAATTTTAAATGTGTCCTGGGGATTTGGTGTTGAAGCTTGGATTAGTTTTTTCATCAATCAGCTCAACTCAAAATTCTCCATAAACTAAAGATGGGACTTTTCAGAGAAGGAAAGAGAAGAAGCAATGTTGGGTTTAGAGAATCATAGACTACAATTCTGAAACAATGATATATTATTGTGATAGTATTGATATGCAATATTATGTCATCTAATTGAAAAAATAAAAATTAAAAAAGTTGTATCAAGATATAGTCTCCTGTTTTTCATATTTTGTGGTGAAATATTTTTTTTTTTTTNTGTCAATCCGATTCAACGATAGTTGTGCCTGATGGTTGATCATGTCTTACTATATTATTATGTGTAAGGAGGTTTTCTGTTATTTTTGACAAATTATTGTTATTATATTTTTCCAAAATGGATTCATAAGTCATCAGTGAAAAGCAGAAATATGTTGAATTTGACTCAAAAAACCAGACTTCACCCAAGGCCAAAAAAACCAAATAGTATCAACAACCTTCCTCATTATAGTCCATATGAACAACAAAAGCAAACTAATTAAAATAGTGGCAAAACAAGCTTCTCATTATTCCTCTTAAGCATAATAATAATAACTTAAGCCCAATGGGCTCAACTCAGTGGGCCAGCGGTGGAGAAGGAGGGGCGCGCACAGCCGATGACCCATCTTCGCCGGCATCACAGTAGCCCGCCAGAATATCGCCTTCTTCAGTGGTGTACCCAAGCGAGCCCAGCAAATTGGGCCAGCAGTCCTTCTGGATAGTCCTTACGGCCCGGCAACAGCCCGGCCCGAGATAGGTCTCTCCATTGAGGAAGAAGAGCACAATCTCGGAAGTGCACGACTGGAGTTGGAACAACGACTCGAAACAAGTGGACGGCTCTTCAGCCTCCTCCAGCTTATTCAGGCGAGCCACAAGGCCCGTCCTTTGCGTTTTTGGTGCCGGGTCAAAAATTCGGGCCGTGGCCAAGTTTGAGAGTGAGAGGCATAAGAGGAGGGCTATTGGGAGTAGCTTGAGAGTGGAATTCATTTTGATTGTAGGTTAAGTGGGTGTTAACAACTTCCGATTAGCTTTGTATGTGTGAAGATTTAGGGCTTAAGAGGTTTGGTATTTATAGTGTAAATGGGAGGAGAAAGGGCGTTTTGGAGTTAAAAGTTAGGGATGAGAAGAGGCATTTGAATTAAGTGTGAGGAAAGCTAAGAGGTAATATATTTTGTAACAGTAACGATAAAAATGATGTACTATTAGATCAGTATAATGCATGTCATGGTTGTTCTATTTTTTTTATAGGCTAAAATTTTGATAAATATCAAGTCATATTTTGTCATTCATTTTTTTTTTTTTATTTATTTTAGTCAATTTTAGTTAATTTATAATATATATCTATATATATATATCCAAATGCAGATAAATTGTGTTTTTTTTTTCATTTTTTAATTTTTATTGTTTCTCCAAACGTAATCTATGTGAAGCACGAGATAAAAATATTAAATAATCAAGTTTCATATGCTTGTTCGTATACTCGAAAATAGTATGATTGAATTATTTATTTTCTATCTGTTTTAATCAATATTTTTTTTTATCAGACTGTTAAACCAGAGCCCGCTAAGATAGCCTGTAAGTTAATCAATACATTAGCTTGTTAACTCAATTTTATTAGTATAAAAATTAAGATTTTAATATATAATTAATATAGAAAAAAATAGTAGTTTTACTTATGTTTTAGTATTCAACTATTATTTATTGTAATATCTATTGTCATATAATGTCATTATTATTATTTATAAAAGTTATAACAGTAGTCTTTTTTATTTATGTAATGCTAATATTAAATGTATGTTAATATTATAGCTAATTTAAAATAAATAAATAAATAAACTTAAAATAAAATGTGTAAACTTATTTTGTCATATATACACACATATGATTCTATTCAATTTTCGGAATTCACCTTATATATCTTATAATAATTATAAAAATAAAAATTATTACTTATATGTGTGTGTAAATATAAATGTAAATGGGAGCTTCCATTAATCTTATGTGTAGGGGTGAGCATGGGTCGGTACGGTTCGGAGATTAACAAATTTCCGGAACCGTATCGAAGTTCAGAGATTACTAAAACTCAATCTCTGGAACCGTACCAAAAAAGCGGTTCGGTTCGGTTCTCGGGACTATCAAAATTCAAAATTCAAAATAAGACTAAACTTGCGGCCATGTTAGATATAAATTTGTGCAACTTACATTGAAAATTCAAAATTCAAACAAAATATAATATAATTTTTTATTAAAGTAATATTTTTTTAATCTCCCATACCATGTTAGATATAAGATTAAATAAGACTAGTATCGACAAATTAAAGTGATGTTTAAATATTTTTTTAAAAAAATATTTCTTTAACCTTTCATACCATTAAAAATATATTTTTCTTAAACCAGGAAAATTCAATTGTAGATCTCAAATATTACTAAACATGACATTTAAGTGAAGCTTAACTGTTATAGCTATATTTTATTTCCATTTTAAAATTTTTCAAATTATATAGGATCAAAGTTGACATAAAATATATTAATACCATACATCTATTTTTATAATTCCATTCTTAATTTCGGGTTTTCGGTTCGTTATGGTACGGGACGGTTCAGTTCGGTTCTCGGTTCGGATATTTGTGAAATCTCCAGAACCATACCAATTATTTTTTCGGTTCGGTTCGGTTCGTAGAAAGTCAAACAGTCAACGGTTATTTTTCGGTTCGGAGTGATTTCGGTTCGGACACTATAATTCATTTAATTCTATCTGAACACCTGAACTCGACTCGACACCCTGTCATCAGTTTATCCGACCCAAGTATTGGTAAACCAAAACTAGAACTATGCACTCATGGTGAGGGCTAGGACAGGAGAAGAAACGAAATGGATTATTGGTCTCCAAAGATGCCAATGCAAGAAAACGAAATTTTCATAATTACTCAATTTAAGTAAACTGTTACTGTATTTACTTACGTAGCAAACTTTCATGTCCCAGGCCAAAAAAATCACAATAGTCCCTACGCCTAAGTTATATGAAGCTGTACTTACAGAAACTGAGAAACAAGTTAAACAACACCTGAGAATTGCTCTAATTACCAAAACGGCTGCCAAATTAGGCAGACGCACTAAGTTGACTTTGGATATAAGAAAGTATACACATATATACTCAACTTCTGGGAGTAATAGAAATCCAGAACACCCTGTAACCCTGTTTCTTTCTTTTACCTTTTATTTTCGTCTTCACATTACAGGGTGTTTGATTG